GCGATTAAAACAAGAGAAAAAAAAAAATTCCTCCTCTAAATGGCAGCTCTCCTCCTCCTACAATAAAATGAACATTCAGGCGCGAGCACTTCAACAAAAGGCATGAAACAATACAAAGGACGATCCACATCCACACGTGTGTATGTAAGATGAAGATGAGACACGCTCAGCCCACATTAAATGAGAAGTATATATGTACAAAGTGGTCAGCTCATACAAAAAAGCGTTCAGACAGCAACATTAGCGTTTCCCATATAGAGGCTCTACAAGGGCGGTCCGCACAGGTACAGGAAATCTGAATGCAATGAAATAACAAGGGGCTGCATGCTGTCTATTTATTACAGAATGGTGATCACATATGACTGGGAATTTAAAGGGTTTTGGTTGGTACTCACTAGAGCACTAGCGAGTAACAAGGGAAACAAGTGTGTCTCAGTGTGTTATGTAAAAGATATTACATACATTACAATATGCTGAAACTGCTACAGCAACATGTAAAACAATTCATGTCATAAATGTGTTAATGAATGACAACAGAATTTATGGTCGGCACTGTGCAGCCAAACACCCATAACTGATCTCCACTTCACTTAGTCTGCCAGACAATAAGGCCTGGCATTTATACCCAGGGCAAGTTTCTGTGATCAACAGTTTGTCCACATAATCAGATTTTAATATAGGGAAGAAACTAACAATTGATTTTAATTACTGGTTATGTTTTTGATCAAGCTGATCAATCAGTTGGTCTATAAAATGTCAGAAAAGCCTAAAGATGTCTTTAAAAAGAATGGCTTGTTTTGTTCTGTATGATCAACACACTTAAAAGCAAAAAGAAGACACTCTGTTTACAATCACAGAGGACACACTATTTACATATATGTTTGCTACCTTGCATTATTTGTCTTCCTCCCATTTCTTGCAATGCCAAATATCCATCAGTGGAAAAGCTCAGCAGGATGTGCATGTTACAAACAAAACGGTGACCCACTCAGAAAAACATTGCTCCATAGCGCTTCTAGTGGTCATCCTGTGGAGATTTTGACCACTTTGTATCTGCACGCACAAAAGGACTGTTTCACACTAATCCTCTAACAGCTGGTGGCGGTGACATACAAAGAATAGCAATGCACCAACGAAGGCAAGGAAGAAGAAGCCGATGGCGACAACAACTAGCTAGCTAGTAAACATGGATGACAACAATGTATGATTTTAAATATTCAAAAAAATCAGCTCAGCAAATCATTTATGAGACAGAAAATGCATTCCTTATGTTTGTTGGACCTCAATGATACACAGCAGGTTTGGGTGAGAAACAGTGAAAGTAAATATCATTTTGTTTATAAGTAAACTCAAGGTATTCAAGGTGACAGGGCACCTTGAATATGATGGTTTTACACATTTCAGCTCATTTCTAAGTTTCCAGTGTGACAAAATACCTCCAGCCTCTCAGATAACACAGGTGTGTCCACAAACAGTCAAACAGGTCTATTCACTGCAATGCTGAAGTCATATTTGCATAATGTACATTTACTTTATAATATATTACCATATTGAAACAGCAGTGTGGCTATCATGTGTTATAAATAACAGTTTCACCCAACAAATTGCATATTCAGTCAACACCAAATGTTTTATTGGTCCTACTCACCTTTCTTGACCTCTGCAATAACCCCGTCTACTGCAGCGGCTGCCCTCTTGGCCTCTCTGCTCTCCTGGTTGGCTCTGTCCTTCTGCTTCTTCTTACTGGTACTGGAGGACAAGTCTGAGCTGTTGTCCCTACCGCCGCCTCCTCTCTGCTGAGCCCCACCACGACGGCCCACCGTCTCACTACCGGCCACACCGCTACCGCCGCTGCTGGCCATCTTCAGGCACTTGGCGCTAACAGGCCGCCCGTCGCCGGAATCACTACCGCTGCTGGGGTCTGGATCTGAGGTGTGCCTCTTCCTGCCTGGCCCGGCTATCTTGGCGATGATACTGGTCTGAACTCTCCCAGAACAGAATCAGGAAGGCTGATAAGGGGATGGGGACCTGAGGTGCAGGGCAAAGAGAACATGAATAACCAAGAGGAGAAACTAATAGTAATCTCCTTAGTTGTTTGGCATCAATATGTGCAATATATCTGAAAGACGTGACGGCATAAAGTTAAACAACTCAGGTAATCTGGACTCTGGCTCTGCTTCTCTCTCTCTCTCTCACACACACACACACACACTCACAGGGGAAGGAGGTGAGAGAGCGGTAAACTGCTTCAAACTAATTAGGAGGAGGTCTCAAACATCGACAACAAAGCTGAGCAGCACATGGACATTATGTGTGACAAAGGGAAGCATATGGCTGCACATTAGGTTAGCAGACACCGAGATTTAGCCTTGCCTCGTTTCCTTAGCATAGCAACAGCAACTTGCTAGCTTGGACAGTCAAATGACAAACAAAGGACAGCAGCTACATCAGCCATTTTATTCGGCGTTCAGTTCAGCACATTCACTGAAAACACGGGTGGTGTTCGTGGACTTAAACAGCGAGCTTAAAGCTGTAGCTCTCCATCCCCGGAGTTAGCCAGCCGCCTGCAGAGGTTCGTTTAGTTCAATGCACACGTGTTTTCGGCTGTCATGTGCCTGTCGATATGAGATACACACAGTTGCTGCCTGTAGCGTTTAACTGACGCTGTATTGTTTATGGTCAACTAAATGTATTGGTATTAGCAAATGATCTTTAGACAGTAACATTAAGACGTTATTTTGGAGTACCTGGTCCACATTGGGAAGTATAACGTTAGAACAATGCATTTCTTGGGAGGCACATTGGGTTTAACAAGCCACATAATGCATCTAAATAAGCAGCGTTGGCTCTGTTCAGTGTAAGTACCCCTCCACGTTACTACTGCATAACGTCAGAACATTTTATATCAGGATGCTAACTGCTCCAGTCTGTCTACCAGGAGAGCGCAGGACAGGTCGTATAATCAAACGCTCCTTATATTCTTCGAGAAGCTAATGTCATTAGCCACATCAAGCTAACGCTAGCTGAAACGAAAGCGTTGATATGGCTACCTATTTTACACAACATGACATCTCCTGACACCTGGCGCCCGCCTGTGATTAAAAAGCCAAATTAATGTTGACATTGAAACGGGAGACTTACGGGGCTGCAATTTGGCGAAAATTGGATTCCGTTGCTAGCACACAATGGCCGGGGCGACTCCTTCTGCTTCTCCCGGCTGCTAAGCTCCTTCACGGCCGCGCCTGCCCACACTCGAAACCCCGTAGTCCACGGTGTTTCTGGAATATTCTTTCATTTATCCGGGACCCATTTCTGGTAACTTTAAACTAGTTAGTTCGGAAATAAAAACAAAGACAACAATTGAAAAGGTGCTCGGTCTGGTGTCAGTTTGGTGTCATTCGGCCTCTGCGGCTGAGTCCCAGTACTTTGTTTGGTTCCACATAAACACTGCTGGCCGGCCAAACCTGAGAGCGCGCACTTCCTGGCTGGCGCGTTCACGTGATCTGTAACGCTTCCTCCCCCCCTTCTCCTGCACACACACTACTGTTCATTTGATAATGTACACAGTAAATTCAAACCAGGCTGAAATAAATAATTTGGTTTGCAAGCATGTAACAGTTTACTTTATATTATTTTTGTCTATAGTCTGTTTTTTAAGATTGGATTATCAGTGAGGGAAGAAGGCAAAAAATATTCACCACAAAAACACGATAAAAACTGAAATGATAAGGGCCTTAAAGTGGCTCCTGAATTTGTATTAAAAGATCCCCTCCAGACATTAATGTATTGGGACATAATACAAATAGTCTTTTTTTTTAGTTTGGAACAATAATATGTGTTTTTTTAAGCAAAAAAGTATAATTTCCATATTTAAATCCTTAAAAGGGCCCCTGCTCCTTTTACTTCAATAAAAATTCCACAACCTGTGAGTGTGCTTCAACTGGACCAGGGTTGACATCAAAACAGTTTATGATATCACCAATCATCCTCATAGGCCCCGCCCCTTAAACTTAACTTTCCTCTTTCAGCAGATGAAGTGAAAACATGCCTTTCTAGTTGTCACAACTCTGCACAATTTCTGCATTCAAACCAGCCAAACACTGTAGGGACAGGAAAGAAACACTGATTTCTGAGTGGAGGGGGACTTTTTCTTGTTTCTTGTTTTCTTGTTGAGAGAGGGCCCCTATGTCAAAATCAAAATGTAATTTTGATGCTGCTAGTGTTTGTGTTGTGTTATCTGTTGTTGTGGTTTTTTTACTGTTTTTTTCTCTTGTACAGTGTTTATATTATATTATATTATTTTTTCATACTCTTACTGTTTTTATACTGTCTTTATACTGTTTTTTTTCTATCCACTTTGCTGCTGTAAGATTGGAATTTCCCCAATGTGGGACTATTAAAGGAATATCTTAATATCTTAATACATTAATAGGCCTATCTCACTTGATATTATGCCTATATGGAACATTTGTCAGTACATTTCTTACTTAAATGAGCACAAACTAACAGACGCACAGCAAACACGGGGCAGGATAGTATTCAACTGGAGAAATACTGGTTGGTTTCTGGGTCTCTGGCCAGAATGGGCTGGGGGCACTGCTTCAGCTGAACGCCATCCCATCTCCTCCACAATCAACATTCAATGGCACTCATATGGGCCCATATTCCCACAGATATTTTTTTCAGTCATTTGAGGAGGGGGCCCTGGCCATAATACATCAAGACCCCTACTATTTTTAGACTGGGGCCTCGTCTTAAATGGCATCCTGCACTGTCATCCTCTGAGTCCACACTAAAATCATATTGACAGTGATGATGCAGACCTGTGGTGTTCCCTGTTGCTTGTTCCCCTTGTTAGCGTTAGCCTCTAATAATGTGGTAGAGCAGGACTACACATAAAGAGCATCCTAAGTAATAATCAAAGCGCTAATTTATTTAACAAGACAATATCGTATAGCCAAAAAATATACAGCCAAAGCAAATACTACAAGTAAAAGGCCTTTTTGGTTAAATTATGCAACCTTTATTCACAAAACAGTACACAGTTAAACTTTACACAAGCTTCTTTTGGTATCTGTGCTTTGGCAATTACTTATCAAAGTCATGTGGCTGCCAGTTGAAATGTCATCTGAGGGAAATATGTTTACAGGTTTTTTTTTTTTTTTTGACCTGTCATGTTTCCAAAAACACAAACTGTCATGCAAAGAACATGAGTACAAGACACTGGCATATTATAAGGCACAATTCAACACTGCATACTGTCACTTCAGTGAGGCATCAATTACTGCAGACCTTACATATTCTATCACAGTGCATTCGATAAACAAACATTCTTCACATTCATCTGTGTATCACAGGTTTGGCAATCATTAAGTGATGACTTAAAGCATTACAAACATAGCAAAACATTTTGGGAATTACACTTATTTGCTTTCAAGTTATATATATGTTATATTTTGTTTGTTTAATTCATACAAACTGTAACTACAACAATTACCGGGAGTTACGTGCTGGATATCTTCTCTTCTAACTCTATAAGAAAGCAAATACGCTTATTTCTCAAAATGTCTAACTAGTCCTTTAAGTTTGTCCTGAGGGCGGTGTCAGAATGAGTCACTTTGCTATCTAAATTCAAAAGGTTTATCTGTAAGCGATCACTTTACAGAGGAATATGTCAGACTCAGCTTGTCTGGCTCATTTAATGTTTCATTTAATCAGCTGTATTTGACATATATTTCGCTCTGGACCGAAGTTCACCCACATACACACTTACAGACTGACCCATAATAGCATCACCAGAGCCGTGCCGCTAGCATTCAGTTAGTTTATACTGTTAGCTTATACTGCTCCCTACATCATTCCTGTTTGGCATTAGCCAGAGGTGGTTTTTGGGCTGCTTACATCTTTTCGCTCAGCAGTCAAACTGATTTTTATTTATTGGTATGAATGCAGAGATAATACAAAAAATTATTCCTTGCACCCCAGTTGGTACATTTTTTATCTAAAATTCCTTCAATTTAAAATCCATATGAATTCAAAAACCCTGTTCATCTCTTTATTCTACTGAAATGGTATGTCCCTAATACTATGCAGGGAATCATCTTTATTTTGGCTGTTAAGGAAAAAGCCAAAACAATGAAAGCCTCATTTTAACTTGAAAACACAGAACAGATTATGATTCAGATTTTGTCCTCAAGCACCTCAAAGTTGTGGTGTTACATACTGAAAGAAGACACTGTAGTTTCTATAAAGTCCTTTTGCGTTGAGCACAGCTCAGAATATACTTTCAGTAGTCACAGACACTTTATAGAAAAATGGGGAGGAAATTATATTGACCTGCTGATTATCACAAGTGAAAAAATCCATAAAAAGTTTGACTACAGATAGTTTGTAATCCATTATTTTCACGGCTGTGTATTATTGACTTTTCTAATATATAATGTTCATGTTACACAAATGTAAACATGGATAATGACACCGATACAGTTCCAGATTGTTTTACAAATGAAAAACAAAAATAATGTACACAAATTAAAATAAAATATGTCATATCAGACAACCATTACATGTTCAGTCATGGGTACATATATCTAAATATGATAGCAACTGTTTTAAATACTTACATAAAAGACAGTCTGCACACAAAATACGCAAATTCACTTGCAGAGTGACCAAATAACCACCACAGCCCTCTTCTTTGATGGTTCAAAGTCTATTGTACAGTTGGTGTATCTGGAAGAGTTGGCAGAATAACACCAAGATGGACCAGTTTTCTCATGAGTAGTGAGTTACTGGCATGTGTTGTAGATCTGGATCTGTTTGTTGATGTCACTGAGGATGGCTTTCATCTTGTCCTCCAAGCCATCCAGCTGACGAGCTTTCCCCTCCAACCTCCTCTGGTTCTCCTCATAGTTTTTCTCCAGCTCTGTGGGAAGCAGGAATTTCAGGAATGGTTACATAGCCAGGCATTAGCAGCATTTGGAGCTAATGTGAGTCATTTTAAAGTCATTCAACTTGATCTGTGTGCTGTTTTTGATGCATGTGACCACCAGATTCTTTTATATAGACTGAAGGAACACATTGGTCTGTCTAGTTTTTAACTATCTCTACCAATCCCTCTGCCATAAAGTTCTTTGTCATTTCTCAAAACACTGTAAAATAACCTGTGTGGTTCCTCAAGGATCAATTTTAGGGACACAATTTTTATATACTGTATATATGTTACCCTTGTCCTCCAAAGGCACTGCATCTCTTTTTTTTTTCTTTTATTGCAGGCGCCCTGCATTGCATCTCTTTTTATACATATATTGACAACACACAGCTTTTTCATTTTAGTTATTAGTGGCAGCAGGTTTTCTCCTGGTTCTCCGGCTCTTCCTGCAGTTCAAAGTCATGCAGGTGAGGTTAACTGGTGACTCTGCATTGCCTGTAGGTGTGAATGTGAGTGTGTCTATGTCTCAGCTCTGTGATTGACTGGCAACCTGCCCAAAGTGTACCCAACCTCCAGCCCTGCTGTGACCCTCTAGGACAAGCAGTTTAAATTGTTTTGTTTGCTGTTTCTATTTTTGCTCTACCCGTTGTAAGAATTGTGATTTCAAATAATAAAGTCATACTTTCCTTATGCCAAACAAATGCAAACACATTTGTCTATTTCTTCAACTGCACACACATAAACACACACACACACACACACACAGATATTAATAAGCACCTGCTAGTCTCTGGAGCTTGTTCTGGGCATCTCTCAGTAGTTCCTTTGCTTCATCTCTGAGGCTCTCTGCCCGTTTCTTCGCATCCTTCACTGCCTTGGCCTTCGTATCAACCCGCTGCTGCACCTCATGGTATTTATCTGTCAGCTGGCCATCTAGAATCTGAGCATTAAGACAGCAGAGAGGGTTTTCTATACCAGCTGTGCATGTTTTTAAAGAGACATGGTGTGTGCACACACACAGACACACACCTGTTTGGCTTCATTTGCCTTGTCTCGTGCCATGGTGGCTGTCTCTTCGGCTCGGGCTGCTGCCATGCTGTTGTTGGCACGTTTGGTCTTTAGGGCATTGATCTCTCGTCCCAGTGTCCCGAGGCGGTCCATGGCATCATTCAGGTTCCTCTCACTGTTAGATGTCTCCGACTCAATCTGAGGACAGCAAGCACAGTGAACTCTGACCCTTCAGAAATATTACTGTTACATTTGCTTTTGTTGGATTAAGCACTGTGTTTGTACCAGGATGTGATGTCTCAAAATTGAGTCCTGGACGTTGATGTAATAACCTGTATGTATGTGTGTGTGTGTGTGTTGAATGCACATTGAACATAACTTTGCAAATGACATATTTCATGTTAGACATAGCATGTTTCTTTCCCCCTTTTTTTGGTTGGCTACCTGTGCCAGTCGGGCCTCAGTGTCCCCAATGTCAGTTTTGGCTCTGGCTATGGCCTTCTCTGCTGATGTCTGGGCATTCTTAGCATCCGTCAGGGCCTGTTTCACTGTCTCTGCTGTGGTCTTCACCCCTTCAGCCCGATGCCTTAACAATAACATTGTGTTACTGACAGTGAACGCTTTTAGTGTTGATGAATAAATATGAAACACTCTTTGTTAGTACAAATAATTCTGTACCAATACATTTGTTCTAAGTGTGACTCTATCCTGACTACCTTGCCCTCTTGGCATCCAGCAGCAGTTGCTCAGCCTTGCGGACATCATCCTGCGTCTGCTCCAGGATGGCGTCCACATTCGAAAGACTGCGAACCCGTTCCTTGATTTCATCAGCAAGATGTCTGATCTGGAGGGGTGAGGCAGGGATGGAGAGCTCCAACACGCGGTTCGCCACTGCCTCGATGCTGTCTGGGTCTGCGCCCTCCTCTGAGAGAACGAGAAGTGGCAGGGTCGACACAGGAGCGCAGCATGACTTTTCTACAGGTTCTTGGTTATCTTATACATGTAAAATATATCTATGATAAACCCAGCAGACTCACGAGTAAGGAAGTCTCTGATCTGTTTGATGAGGTCTCTCAGGTCATTGTTGGAGCGCTCCACTTTGTTCTTGGTGGCGGTGGCTTTGTCCAGAGCAGCTTGGGCTTTACCCTTGGCCTCCTCTGCCTTGCTCTTGGCCTCTGCCACCTGAATGAAAGGCAGAAATGCTTATAGAGGACACAATATACTGACAGATACAAATTATTCACCATAGCTGCAGTCTTTACTAGCCTTCAGTTATCTAACAGTGTTTACCAAGAATCGTAAATAAAGTCAACTGGTTTAGGTTTTTTAGTGTGCCCACATTCACTGAAATCAGTTTTGTCTAAGTGCACATACGTGCACATAGTGTACTGTAAAGTCTGAGCCCACACACTGGCACGAAATGAAAGTGAACAACTATGGATGTGAATTAGTGTGAAACTATACAGTGTATAGTAAAACTTAAAAACTTAAAATGCCTGCATTACGGTAAAATCACAGTGGCAAAGATGTAATTAAAACACTCTAAAAGAACTGCAAGGGATTCCCCTTAATCTGGAAAACACTTGCGAATAAGATTCAGACAGAAATTCCTGGCTGCATTCCATTTGGGTCTTATGAGAAGTGGACAAAAAGCCTTTTCTGCCTCCAAAGATTTTCCCTCTGTATTTAAAATTGCTGTAGAGACCCAGCTCCAGAAATGTGTTGACAAAAACCAAAACATCAATATTAATTGTCTATCCTAACAAATGCTATATATTTTAAACAGTTGAAGTCCAGTAACTATAATTCTCACAGGCCTCCATACCTTGGTAAATAGTCCCTCCACCTCTCCCATAGCTTTATTCAGCTCCTTCTCTGCGTGTTTTGCTCTCTCCAGAGCATTGTCAGCTACTGCTACAGCGCCGTTACAGTTTAGGCCTCCACAGTGACGGTTCCCTTCATCATCACGGCAACCTGCACCCCCACAAGGACTTTCCTCACAGGGAGCATCACCCGGTGCGCCGCAAACCTGTTGAGAACATGTAGTTTGTAGTTGTATGGAAATGATCAGGTGTATGTGTGCGAGACACGACTGTCCCGCAAAGCCAAACAACACGTAACAACAAATTTGGTCAATATTGAGTTAAGACCAGAGTTTGACATTTTGTTGTCTCTTTTAGTATCTAAACATGGGGTAATGTTTACAGTATGTACTGTAAAATATCTGTGAAAACACTGTTTAAGTGTCACAGAGACAAGCAGCTAGAAAGGTAAAGCAAGAGAGCTCTGAAAGTTAAAGCTAACTAGTGATATAGCCGAGACTAGTCGTAGCTAAAGCTTAATCTAATTTACTGTTGTTGTTAAACTGTTGATAATCCAGCATCTTCAGTTTGCTATCCCACTACAACATTATGGAAAAAGTCCCCAGCTAAACTCCTGCTAATGTTGGCTGCTGACTTGGTGATATCCTTGATGAAAATATGACATATTGTGGAGCGATCAGCATGAGGGGATACACCCCAAGCTCAGTACAATCATCAATCATCATATGCCATATTAATATTCGTGTGAATAGATGAACTTCTATGATTTGCAATTAAGCAACATTACGTGTAATATTTGTAAAATAAAGTTTATTGTTTTAAACAAACTGGCCAGCTGAATGAAGATATGTTCTTTCTGGATACTGTTTTCCCTTGAAGGCTTAAAAAGGAAATGTATGTGTGTAGTGTAATTACTTCTCTTTCCCTTTGTATGGCTGTAACAAACATAAAATCAATGCTAAAAGCTCCTTCAAATAATGAAGAATGTGCACAAACCTTCTCATTGATCTTCTTCATGTCCAGGCCCTGTGCTCTGGCATTGAGGTCTCCAAGTGCACGCTTGTTAGCGGCATTCTTGCGGTTGAAGTCGTCCTTCTTGGAGGCGATGAGGCGCTCAGTACGGCGACGAGTATCTGCAGATTGGCTGACTGTGCTGGGCTTGGTGGTTGTTGATTCATTGGCACGCCGCTCTGCATCACGCGACTTGTTGTAGGAGCTACGGATGCTGTCATACGCACCTAGAGGGAAGAGGAGGAAGAAAAGTACATTTTCACTTAGCACATTTCAGTTTAATCAAATTGATGGTGGAGTCATTTTTTTAGGATTACTAGGGATTACAGATTTTCTACTCAGTGATTAAAAAAGGGGAGAGGATAAAGAATAATGATGCTGCATGTGAGGGAAGTTGAGTAGGAGAAAGTGAAGGAAAGCTGACAGCAGCAGACAGTGTGAATAGTTGAATAATGAGGATTCTTTTTCTCACCTAGGAAGTTGGAGTTTTTTAGGATATCCAGTTGGTGGTGTAGCTGCTCTGAAGTGAGGTTTAGTTCTTTAGCCTCTCTCTCCAGAGCACTCAGCTCCTTGCTTGCCTCAGAGTTGCTGTCCTGGACAATGGTTAGGTCTCCTTCCAGGCGGTTCAGGGTGTCAGTGGTCTCACCGATCTGCGCTCTGCAGGGCAAGACAAGCAGTTGTTGAGGGATGTACATTGTAATCCTGATTCCATGACCCCCATCAAGTATCATCATTTGATACTGTTACCTTATGAGGCAGTAAAAATGATTATATATAATGACTATATAAATATTTTCATATAGGCTATACCTAAGATCTTCAATAAGCTCCATTAGGGTAGCGACGGCTGCAGCAGTGGCGTTGCGTGCGTTGACAATGCCTTGAGCTTGTGCCAGTTTCTCCTCCAGGTCTCTAAAGGCCTTCTCATAGGCCCCAGTAAGCCCAGTGGTCTGAATCTCATGGGCACGCTCTGCCAGAGTCTTGGTACGCACTGCCAGGTCCTGGTAATGAGACAAAATTGTGAAGAGAAAGATTGTGGTTGACTCTTAATCAATCAGTTATTCAACAGGGTGAAGATTAAATGCCCTCTTCTGCATGACACTGCACCTGCACAATGCGATCCCAATCCCCGAAACACTGGTGACAGGGCTGACAGTTGGGGAACTGGCCGGAGAAGCCTCTGGCACACTGATCACAGCGGACACCTGACACCCCCTGCTGGCAAACACAGTGGCCGGTCACCCGGTTGCACTGAGAGGTCTCAATGCCTCGCCAGTCACAGTCGCAAGCTGGAAGGGGAGAGAGGGAGAAGAGGAGAGTGTGCAGTGAACATGGAACAACAAGACTTACTGTATAATGAGTAAATCTAATTTGTTTAAACTTAGGTATCTTTGTTAACTGCAAAACAGAGTGTGCTATTTATTGATTATGAGGCTGCTGTAAGGCCTCATACTGGTAAGTTGTGTCACTGTTCTGAAATGAACCACAATCAGAATTCTAATAAAATGCTCTAAAACATTTTGTAAATTTTACATTTATGTAGGCCATCATAAATATTGAATGCAATCATTTGCATCTAATATTTCTTCATTTTCAAACAGTCTTGGTTATTCTGAAAATAAAATGTAGAACATACTCATTATTTGAAGCTACTAAGAGGCACATATGGCAGTAGAGTAGATATCTCCAATATATCTCCAATTCCCTCTGAACAGTCCTAAATATGTTATATTAGGGCCTGCACTGGAACACAAGGTTTGCCATGCATTCTAATTTCTACCTGTTTCCCCTTTTCCTTTACCTGTTGTTGCTACTGCTGTAGTGTCACTGTATAAACTCCTGTAACAGTAGCTAAAGCATTTTAGCAGAACAGTTAACACTAACCAAATCCTAGCTGATGCTACCTATAATGTTTTAGTTTAGTTTGACATTATGAGAATATAGATGTTATTTTTATTATTATTATAATGTTAATGTTACTAGTTGTTGAGGAGGAGTGCCTGCTGAACTAATAATAATATTTCTATCTATCTACTGTGCAACCCACCTCTCTGTCTGAGCAGCTATAAAGCCAAGGAGCACTTCACTTTTGCATCAAATCCTGTCTTTATTATGCTCACCGCAACTACACCATTTCCCCAAAAGCATGTATTGTGTCTTAATGTTCCTAACCTCTGCACTGTGTCCTGGGGTCTCCCCAGTAGTTCTCCTGACAGTCTGTGCAGGTCTTCCCTCCAAAGCCATCACGACACTGACACTGCCCAGTAAACTGCATGACAGAAAGTGGATAGGTACATATAGATATAGAGCCATGGCACATCCATTTCTTTTGTTCCTGCCAGTATGAATATATTTATACTATCAGGAGATTATTTGAATGTATTCAGGTCAGAGCATTCCCTACCTCATTACATGAGGAGGTGACAGAGTTGTTGGGATCACAGCCGCAGGTTTCACAGCCCCTCCCGCTGGCCAGGTTCCAGTGGTTGGGCGCGCAGTGGTCACATGTCAGACCTATGACATTTAGTAGACACTGGCACTGCCCTGTGGTACGCTGGCACACACAGTCCTCACGCTCCATACACTGGCTGCGTTCAGTACCCAGGAAGTTACACGTGCACTCTGAAAGACAAATAGGCAAAAAAACATGCCATAATTATGATAGTCCTCTTTTTTCATTAACATTTTTTCGATGAACTCACTCCTGCAGTTGCGCCGAGAAGCGTCCCCAAAATAGCCGCTCTTGCAGATGCCACAGTTGGGGCCCTCAGTGTTGTAAAGGCACTTCCTGCACTCTCCGGTTTGCCTGTCACAGGCGTCCATGTCTGACATATCTATGTTGTTGTTACACTGGCATGGCTGGCAGCGTCCTCCGGGCTGAGAGGGGTTGCCGTAATAACCGGGGGCACATTCCTCACATCGGGCACCTGAATCAGGAGAAAAAGCGGAAAAAAAGAAAAGAGAACAAGAGTTACAATAAGAAGGGAGGGGAAGGAGTAGATATAATAATTGCTGCTGTTATGAGAAATAAAATATATTTGCAGTAAGCATGGGTGAAGTCCAAGCTGTTTTTAGGGTGTATGAAACAGCAGGAAGCAGGAAACTTGTGCATTTACAGCAGTAGAATCAACATGTAATCTTGTTTCAACAAAGTAATGAGGACCCTCCTTATACGATGGGATTTTGTTCTAGACTGAAACTACAATATTTTCAGTGGATACTTCCATTGAATGAAACAGTCAGTCTACTATGGCAAAGCATGAACATTATTATATTAATACAGCATGTTACTACAATCAGTTTCATTACTCATCATCACTCAGTGGGGTTGGGTTAACTAGTTCTCATTAGTCATGTGTCTTTGTCATCACACCCTTCTTCAGTAGAATATGCAACACATTACTATACTTGATTACATAATAGACTATAACATTAGACAAGAGTCATTTACGTTTCATGATTTTGTCATGATATCTCATGGTATGTGTGAAAACATCTGATCAATTTAAATCGACGGTCAGTTTAAACGTTTTTAAGCAGTTTCCACAGGCAATGAGTTGTGCTGCCCCTGATTTGGATTAAGTAGCCTAGACCTCTACTCTATGCAAATGAGAAGCAGCCAACAGGACACCTCATCTCTTGAAACTATTGGCGCTACCAAAATGCATTGCATAGACAGTGAATGAAACCATGGAAATGACTGATATTTGTGGACAAGTACTATCAGTCTGCTTCAAGAAATTGCACAGAGACAGATATAACCAATATGGACACACCCCTGTCCTATCCCACACTGTGTTGCGTCTTGTGTTTGGTTAAATCTGTACCATATCTGTCATAAACTACTGCTATATACTGTACCCTACAGCTACAACAATAGTCAGGCAGAGTACTGGATTCTTTTGCCAGTGAACCACTGTTTTTTTCTTTTACTGTTTCCCTCATACTTGGCATATTTGAGTCTAGCAGAAAAAGGAAATTAGAGAAAGAAGGAATGAGAAGGTGGGGAGAGGTGAAGAGTAGGGCTGGCAGACTAAAAGGAGGATTAGATGAGAGTGAAACAGAAAAAAGAGAAAGTTGGATGAAGGTCAGGAATGAAAGAGAGGGGACGTAGATTCAGTGGTGAGCAGAAAGAGGTAAAGTTGGGTAGAAAAGTGTAATCAGCTACAGTTTTTCTTCGAGTTTTTGCAGTGACTTTCAAAAGTACAGGTCGAATGAGGTATTCGATCTGCTCTTCGTTGTGCTTCACTTGAAAAGCCAGGCTGGTAAAAAAGAAACATCAGTGTACATACCAAGCTGTATGGCTATATTGTTGTATCAGTACAGCTCCTTTTCAGCTCTACTGGGAACATTCACGCAGACCTGGTTCAAATCTTGTTTTGAAATGACTTAACCACTGTCAGTATAATTTTAGGGACAATCATTTGTCCCTTTAGTGCCATATAAAACACTGCAGTCACAGAAAAGTATTTGAAAGAGTATTCTTTGAGCCAGGTCTCACACATGGGCAGGAGTGCACTGTGGCACAGCAGCACCGCTGACGGGAGGGGTGCTGAAGCCATGCATGGGTAGGATTGGTAAAGTGGAGGGTTGGTGGTAGAGGATCGGGGAGAAGGAGTGGGAGGGACGGGGGTCAACCATCATTACTCACGCTTAAAAATGGTCACCCCGGAGCGTTTAACAATCCCTGTGCCAGTAATACAGGGGAGGGAGGAAATGACACAGGTTACCATTCACCAGAGCCCACTGAGAAACATCATTCTTATCTCATCTGAGTTATATCCTTTGTCTTGTCATAAAGTAGAAGATTAGTTTTATTACTAATATTTTTCAGAAGTGCTCATAAGGATGGACTCTGCTAGACTGGCCTGCTATTAGCAATGGGTGTTCATAGTCCCCAGAGGATGACTCCTTTCCTTTAGCATCTTTGTGATGTGTGCCAATTAGCTAATCAAGCAAGCTAAAATGATACACTAATATGGTGAATATGATAAACATTATACCTGCTAAAGGATATCCTCACAGAGCTGCTTGTGTGGCTGTAGTTTAAAGGTCCATCTCATTCAGTGAGGTTATTTTTACTTTAACATCAGCTCTTTCTTAAACAGAACTCCACTTAGCTACAAACCACACTAATGATGAACTAAAACTAAGTGGTATCTTTTAGCTTAAGGTGATCCACTGCGGTGCCCCTTGGCTTGATAAAACATATCACAGACAGAATTACACTTTATACATGCGACTCAGATGAGGCTTTGTGGTAATGTTATAAACTCAAACACTGACACAAAGTGCATCATAAAGGATAGTATGATGATGCAGTTCTATAATGTTCAGGTGTTCAACAGGTGTTCACAATGTCACAGGTTCTGTAGAAAATGAATCACCCTCTTTAGTTACAATGAACTTCTATGTTAAATTTATTGTAACTACAGAGACATGTGGACACACCGATGACTTCCTCAGCATCACTTTCTGAGGACAAAAAAGGGAGACACAGAGCAGAAAGCAAGGACTGATGGAAGAGGGAGGACAACAGAAGAAAATGCAGAGACAGAGCAAGAGTACAAGCATCGTCTGAGTTTTACCTGTGTAACCCTGGTTACAGTTGCAGATAATTTGTCTGTTGCGGTTGTCCTGGTAACAAGAAGCAGCAAAATGGCGTCCACTGTGGGGCCCATCTGGACAGGGGCACGGACGACACTGACCACCGGACGCTATGCCTAAAACTGGGTTACCATAGTAACCGTTCGCACACCTACAGAAATGACAGAAGGGTTTACTCAGTTAAACACTTGTGATTAAAGGATTAACGTATACTGCTCAGCTGGAATGAGGAATATGCAAAAATAGATTTGAGTCTAAATGGATTTAAGTTCCATAACTACAGAAACACAAGAACAAAAAAAAGTTTTTCTACAATAGTTAGTTTTCAATTTAATTTAATAATAAAGTGTTATTTTGTGTACTATAAAAATCCTGTGAACTATAAGTAACTGTAACTGCTAACTAACTGTGCAACAACAAAATTTTTCTATTCAATATATTCGTTTTTGTATTTTTTTTTAGCAAATACGAAGGGACTGATAAACACAACTGCACTTACTTTCTTTGCCCCCATATTGCTAGGACTTAACACTGAAACATCACCTGTCACACTTGTCTCCTCCCGTGTTGTCCCTACAGCGGACGCAGGCTCCAGTCCTCTGGTCGCACTCGTCAGCATGTCCATTACACTGGCAGGGTCGGCAACTGGGGAAGCCCCAGTAACCTGCCTGGCATCCGTCACAGTGCTGACCAAATGCTCCCGGACGACACTGACACTGACCAGTGAACTTATCACAAAGTCTTGTCATGGAGCCTTCCAAGCTGCAACCGCAGGCTGGACGGAGGGAGGAAAGGTAAAAAGAGAGAGTAAAGGAAGGAGGAGATCGCAGGAAGTGAGGGGAAAAGGAGAAGGAAAAAATAAGAGATAAGTATGATGGGAATAAATAACTTGAGTAAAGGGGCTTCAGATTTTCAATTATGCACTCAAACAGTAGAGGGCGCCAGCAGCATAGCATATAACTAATCAAAGGCACTGCACAGTCACTTTAATTTGTAAATAGAATAAAAGAACAAAATGCAAGCATTTAATTGAGTGTCAATGTTGAACTCAAGCAATCTGATTGATATTTTTCAGTAAAACTGCTTCATTAGTTGTTGTACAGTCTGTACCTTACTAAGCTCTTCCAGGGAAAGTTTAAAAACCCAACCAGCTCAGGGATGTAAAATATGGAAATATTGTTATGTTACATCATATCATCCATAAAGGCCCAGAGCTCCTCACCCATGCAACCCGAGGGTCCAAAGCCGTAAGTTCCCGGAGCACACTGGTCACAGCGCCGAGCAATCACATTGGGCCTGCAGCGGCACTGGCCCCCACGGACATCACACATGGAGCTGATGGACCCCTGAAGATCGCAATTACAAGCTGGAGGAGGACAGAGAAGCACAGGCATGAAGTCACTGAACCATAATATATGGGAAAATCATGCACATTGAATCCTGAGAACAAGAACATATCTGTATGACTGTAAGGTTAATGTGATTCATTTAGTTTTACAGGTCCCCAAAGTCCAGCTTTTTGTGTAAGGAAATAGAAACTATGATGATATTGCAGCTATTGTGTATAGCTTTTAATTCTTAAGAAGATGGTAAAAATGTTTTTGGACCTGTATATCTTCTGTCTGTAAATATAACTCCCCTATTTACTCTTCTTTAGCTCTGTTTTTGGTCTCTACCAACTCCTGAGAGAAATATCTTGCTCTTATACTGCAAGTAAAATGGTCTAATAAAAAATCTGAAGAAATCTTATAAACCAATAATAAATAAAAAAAATACATACATTCTATATGTTAAAATGTATATATTTTTTTCCTTCACAGGGAGGTCAGAGTAAAGGTCATGTAACCCAGCAGCCTACTGCACAGTAAAAATCCTAACTGTCATTCAAACAAGGCAAAAGCATTTTAATGAAGCTTCATCACTCACGCAGAGCCCCGTCATTTATGATGGCTGACATGCTGGTGATGAGCTTGGCACAGGTGTCACTCATCAGCGGGCGGGTCACACTCTTCGCCCCCTCGTGGCAGCGATACCGCTCATAGGTCTGCTTCCTGTTACTAGAAGCTGGATCCCCTGTATTGAACATCTCCATGGAGGTGTGGCGGGGCATCAACGCAATCTGGAGATGAACAGGGATTTATGGAAAGGAGGAGAGAGGGTGATGTTTTTGTGTGGAATGAAAACTACACTTACTCTGAATGAGTCAGATGCTTATTTTAGAGAAACTGGAAGAAGAAATTCGTCTCACCGAGTCCACAAGGAGGACAGCGTTGGCCGCTCCGTTGAGGATACTGTTGGCGTCTTGATAGCGTCTGAACTCAAAGCGGAGGGTGTAAGTTACACCTCTCTCCAGACACACAGGCTGAGGAGGGACCATAAACCTGGAGCAAACACAAGCAGCAAACAGCTGACACTCAGCTATTGTGTATGTGTGAGTGTGTGTGTGTTTGTGTATGTATGCATGAGTGTGTGTGTATGCTTAAGGCACAGACCTGGCTCCAGCAGGCAGGGAGACAGTGAGTCTGTCATCATCTGGAATGGTGTTTCCACAGGGGCTGCTGGTAGGAATCGGCCCTGGACGAATCACTGTTAGTCTAACCTCCTCCCAGTCTCGGGGCATCTAGGTAGAATCAGCGTAAACATGGGTAAACATGTCTTCAAAAGAAAACTGATGATGAGTCAGTCAATCAAGTGTGAAAATGGAAGTGGGACAGTTACAGTGATTGTTATCATGTATATGTAAAATATATGATGATTTATAGGCAAAGGGCTGAAGCACGCAAAACCACCAGCAAGATGCTCCTTTAAGGTTATTAGTCAGTGAGATATATAGTTTAAAATGTTATCTTATTGGCAAGAAGAAGAGATTGAATACCAGGCTGACTAATGTTCCTGTTTCTATCGGAGAAGCTTGCCGGTGTATTTATAACCTCCCCCAAAAGAGACTGTCCACAGTCATGACTGTGTCTCCACACTCTGACACGGAGTGGGAGGGTGTAAGGGCCGGATTGGAATTGGGCTTTCTTGTTCGCGTGAGTTTGGCAGGCAACTAGCGGAGAAAATCACTCATCTGGGACTATAAAAATCCACTCTCAACTCTCATATTTTAAGACAAATGTATGAAGGTATTGACCTTCTCAGCAAGAGAGAGAAAAAGTGTATATCAGAAATGTTTAATTAATTAATCATTTTCTCAGGAATCCCCGAAAGCACGACAGATAACCCCGACATACGTTCGCAACTTCATGCAATCCACTCTCAAACTCCCGTCAGACGGCGTTAACAAAATCACATTTCACCGCATACATCGCCTTGGAGCCCGTGCCCATGTTACAAGCCCCGCCCTCTTTAAATAACAAACGAACTTCGTCTCTCTTGCTCACCCTTGACTGATCTCTCTCTCTCTCTCTCTCTCTCTCTCCCCTCTCTATACTCCTTACCTTTGCTCACTCCATCATAATTACTGCATCCATCTACAACAAAAAAATTACAATTGCCAACATATATAGTCCCAATTCCGACAATCCATCCATTACAAGAATCTACAGATATCATAATCCGTGGCGATTTCAATAGAGTAATTAACCCCACAATCGACGATCAAGCACCGCAGGCAATTTACGATCCTGGGACTCTACTGAACTATTAAAACAATACATGACAGATTTTGGTCTTGGCGACAGTTGGAGATTGAGCAACCCATCGTCAAGAGAATACACTTATTTTTCTCCACTACATCAGTCATTCTCTCGTTTAGACTTCTTTCTGATCAGTAATACATTTTTAAGTAAGGCATCCAAGACCATCATACATCCAATCATAATTAGTGACCACGCTCCAGTATCCCTCTCCATAAAAATTGAATCAGCTGTAAAATACTCTCCCTGCTGTCGCTTTAATACCTCATTACTCAAAGACTCTGATTTCACTGCTTTTATACAGAGAGAGTAGGCATCCTTCTTGGAATTGAACAACTCCACTGAAATTTCATATTCAGTACTATGGGAAACCGGTAAGGCAGTAATTAGAGGACAAATAATATCATACTCAACAAACGGGGAAAAAAAGGAACAGGAACTAGAAAAACATCTTGAACAAAAAAAGAAACAACTTACAGATATCTATTTAAACAACCCTAACAAACAGATAAAAAAGGAGCTATATAACACCAAATTTCAGTTAGATGAAATTATAAGCAAAAAAATTTTTTTGATACAACTCAAATGAGACAACTTCGAAAATAGCAATAAACCAAGCAAATATTTAGCTAGCTAACTACAACGTAAAAAAGAGAAAGCAATAATTTCAAGTATAAAAAACTAAAAAAAAACTTATATTCTTAAAATACAGACCCCGACCCATTAAAGATACAATCATTCTTTAATAACCTGGACTTACCCAAACTATCCAAACAAGATGCAGAAACACTTGACAGACCACAGACCATTAACTTCAGATGAACTGTACAAATCCCTACTCCAGATGCCCAACAATAAATCACCCGGACCTGGCGGCTTTCCCTTCGAATGTTATAAACACTTTTGGCATATATTATCCCCCCTATTTTACAAACTAACATTAGAAATTCAAAAAACATCACAAATTCCTCCACACATGAATACATCTGTTATATCAGTTCTACTCAAACCCAATAAAGACCCAACGCAACCTTCTAGCTACCGCCCGTTATCACCTATAAACACAGACTTAAAAATCATCACCAAAGCTCTAGCTATCAGATTAGAAACAGTTATCTCCACCTTAATACACCCCGACCAGACAGGATTTATTAAAAAAAGACATGGCTCGGACAATTTACGAAGATTATTTAACATCATCAATCTTGCACAACAAACTCAAACCAAAACAATAATCGTATCACTAGATGCACAAAAAGCATTCGATCAAGTAAACTGGATTTTTTTATTACGGTATAGATTTGGTTTTGGGGAGTCGTTCATCCATTGGATTAAAACACTATACACCTCACCTAAAGCTACTGTCACCATAAACGGGATCACGTCACACAGCTTCACACTTCACCGGGGCTCCATCTTTATTCGCTATCTTCATAGAACTACTTGCTGCCGCTATACGTCAAAACAATATCATCAAAGGAGTTGACACCACAAACCACCAGCACAAAATAAGCCTTTACGCAGATGATGTTTTATTGTACTTACAGGACCCATTACCGTCACTAAAAGAAACCTTTAATCTTATGAACATATTTTCAAAAATCTCCAACTACACAATAAACAGGACAAACTTCTCACTTCCACTTCACACTGAGAATATTAGATAGTTAGGCATTTCCCCCAGGCTGTCAAGAGTTGTTTCATCTCAACTACAATCCATGATTAAAAACAATAGAAGATGATCTCCAGCGCTGGATGAATCTACCACTATCTCTATTAGGACGAATAGCCACAGTCAAAATGAAAATACTCCCCCACATCAATTACTTTTTCTCAATGCTACCCATCATACCGACAGACAATTGGTTCAAATCTATTGACTCTATCATTACTCATTTCTACTGGAAAAATAAAAAAGCAAAAATTAAATTATCTACTTTACAAAAAAGCAAACACAATATATTGCAAAATGGATCCACCAAACCAACCACAATACCTCATGGTCAGACCTAGAACAGCACTATTGCCAAAACATCTTACTTTCAGATCTACCTTTCCTAAATACAACCATCAAACGACATCCCTGCTTCAAAAATACAGTAATCTCCACAACTCTGACAGCCTGGTGGAAAGTCATCAAGATCTTCAATTCCACTCCAGCACCATGTAAATACACACCAATATGGCACAACCCTGATTTTCAACTCCACAACAATCCTCTTCACTATCACACACAAAGAGGTATCACACATCTCCGCCATCTTTTTAACAATAATCAGTTTATAGATTTCAAGGACCTCATACAGAACCACGGGATTGATAGATATCAATTTTTTTAATATATTACTCACAACTTAAATCCCATACTCAAATCACAATGACTAAATGGCGAACAGACTAGAACCCGTTTGGAAATATTGCCACATGATTACTATTTCTTACACAAATTAAAATAAGACTAAACTCCAAAACTATACACGACGTAATATTATGCTCCAGGATGATTCAATAACACTCCCTAATCAGCCCAACTGGAACGTTGATTTAACATCTCTCCTTCATCAAGACCTTCTGGATAGATATAAATAAAACTATATTTTCCATGAATGCAAATACAAACCTTCGAGTTAACAAATACAAAACCATCCACCGGAACACACATCACACATAATAAAATGCACAAAATGGAACTAGTACCCACAAGACATTTGCTCACAAGCACAACAGGAACAACAGATAATTACTCTTCACCACACTCGTGGGCTTGTCAACCGGATTCACTCCTTTTTGAACTCTGTCACAAAAACACCTCTCCACCATACTCGGACTGCAGAATCCTCTTCTCCATCCCGCACAGCTCCTGCTTACTAGGAGAGACACTTCAGTAATCACCATACCAAACAAACACAAGAACAGCTTGCTAATTTCTCTAACTGTCGCTAAGAAAACAATTCTCCTAAATTGGAAATCAAAAAACTCAATAAACATCAATCTCTGGATCAATCTTCTCTTGGAACATATTTCTATGGAAAAAATCACACATTTCTAACACCTCAAAACACATCACTTTTTTTCCTTTTTCTCTTGGTTTCTTATCTCCCTTAATTACAATATTCTCTCTTCCTGTTTTTCTTTTGCTCTTCCTTTATTATTATTACTATTATTATTATTACTATATTATCACTATTATTGACTATGACTGTGATAATTATTATTATTATTATGCTCATTTTGTTGAGTGTGTTTATAAATATTAGTACGAATATGCTTATGACTGAATATTATGATTCTGATTGTTGTTACTATTATTGTTATTATTACCATATCATCATCATAACTAAAGTTTCTTATCTTATTTATCTTTCATATCATCATCATAACTGTATTTATCATATCGTCATCACAAATATAGTTTCTTATCTTATTTATCTATCATATCATCATCACAACTATAGTTTCTTATTTATTTTTTTATTATTTTTTTCCTAAACAATAATCACAATAATGACATTATTATAATCAATATAAATTATTGATATGTCCACTATATATATTGGTATGTCCACTATATTATGTTATTATATATTATATTATAATGTCTATTGCCCTATATTATCTTATCTTATCTCACATTATCTTAGGTTAAATTATATTGCTCTATACTATGTTAATGTATGCCATATTGTATTGCAGATTATTATTTATTTATTTATTTTTCTCTTTTTCTTTCCTCTTCCTTCTCTTCTCATATTTATACTTTTTAATTTATTTACTTATTTATTTTTATTGTATCATCTATCTATGCCATATTATATGTGTATATTATACCATACCATCTGTCTCTCATCCACATGCACACACGCATGCACGCACACACACACCTATACTACCTATATACATATCATTGTAACTTTACGTTGTTTTCTGTTGTTATCTGTACCGTATGGCCACTAACTGTACTTGTAGTCCACGTGGTGTGATGTATTTGTCCCTCATGTCACCTTGTCTGTCACCTTATTTCACCAATATAAAAAAAAAAAAGATAAAGGCACACGTACACATACACACACACACCTGTGACTCATAGCGGATAAGCAGGTCATATTCCATGGAGTAAGGGACGTTACTGATGAGGAACTCCAGGGTGCCACCCTCGGGTACCCGAGCAAACCCAATGCCCGTCCATGTGGCGGGCCGACCTGGTTGGTGCTCCCTGGTCTCCAGTGTACTGCCCTGAGAATATACAGACGTATTCAGATATATTTTTAAATATATTTTCAGACTAAAGCCACAGAATCCCTCCAATATAAATGTGTGCTGATAAAGAAGACAGGTGGTCTCACCTGCCCCATTTTGGCTAACTCTGCCTCATAAAGGAAGTGATCCAGAGCCATGAAGAAATATCCAGACTCCACCTGCGTACACTGGCGTCCTGTCATGTGACTGCGGCAGCGACACTGACCGCTTTCCATGGAGCAGCTACAGAGAGGACATAAATAGCTTTGTTATTTCAATGCTACAACAATTACTATTTCAGGTTTTACTGTTAATCTTTTAAATTAGGTTTAGGCTTAGTGTTAGAAAAAATCATAACTAAAGTCATTACTACCTTGTAACAAGACAATAAACAAGTAAAAACAAGTGTCTACAGCCATGCTAGCAGCTCTGTGAGTCTAAATGTTAAACGTTAACATCAGCATACTAACATGCACACAGTGCTAACGTGCTGATATAATTTTTACCATGTTCACCATCTTAGTTCAGCAGGTAAGCATAACAACATTAGATAATCAGCACTAAACTCAAAGTAGAGCTGAGGCTGATGGGGATGCCATTAGTTTTGTAAGTACTAGATCATAAACCAAAGTATTGGACATATTGAAATTCTGAGCTGGTAATAGCACTTGACGAAGTTAGAAGATCACCAAATTTATTAAAATTTTCATGGCAATCCATGCAATATTTGTTGAGAAATTTCACTCAAAACCAAAATTGGTGGCATTATAGAAAAATTCAGGGGATCATCCTCAGTGGGTTTCATCCTCCATGGAATGATTAGTGTGTGTACATATTTCCATGGCAAAAGATCTTACAGTTGATGAGATATTCCAGTTTGGACTAAAGTGTTGGGCGGATCTACATTGCCATTTCGTTAGCATGGCTAACAACAGCAAAACTACAAAATTAACCTAATTAGTGTATGATGTATGAATAGAGGATGTCAACTTCTAGTGGCACAGCCAATTAATCCATTACATAATTAACATGACAAATTATTGCCCACAGGGTAAAGGTAGAGACCAGTAAATCAGTACACAAAGCTGTAGCTTCTATTTTAGGCAGAGTGATTAATATCTGAGTGTTATGTCTCAAAGATAAAAACATCTGTAAGGGGCCTCCATGCTATGTAATGTCATTTGTAACAGCTTCATACTTGATGTGTGACCTGTGACTCAGGATTAAAGCGACAGTATCACTCACTGGTTGTCCAGGGCTCCTCCGATATCACACTCGCAGCCCCTACAGCCGTTCAGGTCGTGGCTCAGAGCCCAGTGTTCTGGCTAGAAATGCAGAAGGACAGACAGAGGGCAGAGTGATTGACAGACAGAAACAGAAGGCGACACAACAACCACTCAACAGTTAACAGAACAGATAGACGTGATGCATTGCTCTCCTGGAACTTCCGCTGTCATAAGTGTGAGTCATACTCTCACCATCTATCTAGCTCTCTAATCCAATAAAACAACAATCATAGCTTTGGGGCATGTCATTACTGCCCGTTTCCTTTCAGTTGACATTGTGAGATTTTCCTCTCTTTCAAAAAGAGCTGACGTGACAGTGGGAATGCTGAATTTATTTTGCAGTCAGCAATCTTTTTATCTTGAGTATGTTTTGGCTGATGTATTTGTGCTTAGCTAAGTCTTGTGGTTTCTCCCTCAGTGTTATATAAGAATTTGGTCACTTTTATATTTATTTGCATCAATCTAGTTCAAGTTTGTGGACAAAACTCATCATCCATCCATCTACAGTAATACTAGTCTGTGGCTGGCTGTCTTCTTGCTAGTCTGTTACACTTAATAGCTATTTGGAAAGCGAACAAGGGAAACTCTAAGTCAGTAATGACATTAACTTTTTTCTTTGGTGAGTCAGCTTCTTTTTCTGTGTAGGTGGATATTTATACTGGTATTATTTATTTATTTGTTATTAAATATGTTTTTACCACAGTGCAGTACTTTTTCTTTTCTGGAGGATTTTTCAATTCTGTCCAATGTTGACATTACATTATTGCCAGTAAAAGGAGGGCTAATCAGAAGACAAGATCCACTTTCGGGACCAGGTCCAGGCCCTGGCCATTTTAGGCCTGCTGTAAGCCACACCAACCGGACAAGCCTCAAATCACTGGGCTAAATTTAGACACAGGGCCCAGGCAGGAGCTCACATTCCTGCCTACACTATTCCTGGCTGAGTAGGTTTAGGACAAGAGGTTGAATTATAACAGGAAGCTGATCTGAGCTGAGCTAACATCTTGGGCTGCTGGACTGAAAGTGTGGGAGGAAAATATGAGAAAGAAACTGAGAATGAGAAGAAGAGGATCAGCAACACTAATTTAGAAGCTAAGAGGAAATGAGGAAAATGAAAGATACAGGTGATATGGGCCTTGGAGTGAAATGCAAGGGAAAAAGATTCAATGCTTACTTTCAAATTTAATTGTGTCATGTTTAGTGTCAAATAAAAGACATTGAAGTGACAGAAGTGGTCAAAAAAGAAAAAGACAAAAAGATGAAAACAGTGTTATTCATGGAAAAAAAAAGGACAGCAAGCGAAACAAGAAATATATGTAAGGGTTTTTCATCCACTGTCACATTACCAACAAATAGGGCTTATTAGCAGTGGTAAAGTGAGAGAGAAAACAAAAGTCAGGCCAAAAAAAACACATTCTTTTTTACAATCTTACCAAACACTGGTCACAGCTGCGTCCAGTGACAAGACGCTTGCAGAAGCAGTCTCCACTGACTGGGTCACACTGGGAGCTGCCTGACACTGTTCCCCTGTGGTCACACTGGCATTCTGGCAGCACAGGGTAGGTAGAGGGACAGGGTAGAGGGCAAAATGTATGAGGATTCTCACAGATATATAATTAGTTGTTGCAGCACATAATAAAGCAAACACTTTAAAACTTTTATGTGACCCCGATTAGCAGATTATATATTATATATATATGTATTATTACAAAGCCTAGCATGCAAGGGCAGTCGTTTCCACTGAGGATGTGGGGGGGGACATCCCACTCACTTTCCCCCTCACACCACTTTCACAGTTTTTGCTTGATTCATTCACTAAAGTCACTACAGAAAATGTCTTCCTTCTGTTAAGTAACCTAAAGTGCCTCTCAGGCAACATACAATCTGCCCTCTCCTCTGGAGGTTGTACAGTCAAGCCCGAAATTATTCATACCCCTGGCAAATTTTGACTTAAAG